TATATTCTATTATTCTTCTATTTCTAAGGTGATTTAGCTTCCTCTAAGGAGGGATTAAATGTTATAGCTCTGTACAAAGTCTTCTTTTAGCTTATTTCTTAAGCCTGCTAGTCGGCCTTATACTAGCTTTCTCTTGCGTGTTCCTTTAACCTAAGTCTATTTTTTATCTAGTTCTAGTATCTCTTCTTATTATACAAAGGCCTATTATTAATTAGTATTTAGGAAAAGAGAAAGAGAAGAAGGAAATAAGGTAAGGGAAGGCAAGAGAGAAGGAGAGAGGGTAAGAGTCTAGGAAGAGGGAATAGGAATTTAAGAAGAGGGGAAAGAAAAGGGCTTTTTGTTTATAATTATATATATAAATCCTTAAGTCTTATTCTTATAGTTATATTATATCTTTAATTATTCGTTTTCCTAAATTAAATATATTAATAATCACGCTTTATAGCCTCTTAAGCAAAGAGCTATTATATATATAAAAAACGTGTCTTAAGCTTAAAGTAATATTATACAAAGTTGTATAACTACTACTTATTAACAAGCTTTATATAATACATCTTGCAAAGAAAGTCAGCTATATCTTATATATTATTAATTCAGAGTAAGAATCCTCACAAATCCAGATCAAGGATATATTATACAAGCGTCTCTTCTTTAGTCAGAGTCAAAATATATTAAGCATTACGCTCTTTAGCCTTTAGGGTGCAGCCCTTTATATAATTGCAGAGGGTAGTTTAAGGGATATCATATATCTTTATAGTATATTAGATTAATATTTCTTGGTTAGTATAGATAGCCTAGATGGCAAGGAAAATTCTGGCTTCCTAAGATTAAGAATTTATTATGTTATTAGGTTATAGTAATATATAATAGATAGAAGGTTATAATTTAGAAGAAAAGTGCGTAGGACAATTATATATATAAGACGATTATAAATCACGTTATTATATATTAATAATCTTTTAAAATTTGTTTTTAATCTCTATTATAAATACTAAGGCCACAGCACATAGTTCCTTGCTTTAGAATTTTATAGCCAGTTCTTTAGGCCATATTATATATCTTAAATAGCTCTTTCTAAGACATTTTGCCTGCGTAAGCTTATGTATCAGTAAGGAGCTTTGTACGCCGCAGAGTGTTGAGAATAGTTTAGGGGGCTCTAGGGGCCTGAGGAGACAGAGGATTCGAGCATACGCTGTTCGCAGGGGCGCGACGGCAACGGGGGATCTCTGTGGCTATTTTGAGCTATTTCTGTTCAAAGATGGTGGAATAATCAGTAGTAGAAGGCAAGGGGTATAAAGGAGGAGGATCCTTAACTGCACAGAATTTTGGCGCCAAGCTTCGGCCCTACAATGACTCAGGAATCTGATTTAGAGAAGAGCCTGAAGCTTGGCGCTAAAATTCATTACAGTTCTCAGATTAGTGGTTTAAGAGAGTAATTTTATTAATTAATTGCACTCTAATTAAATACGTAATTAAGATGAGATTAAGTATGCATGATATTATATATACAGAGATATTTAAAGTTAAAAGAAATTATAAATATATCTTATTATTATCTAATAATTAAGAATTAAAAACTCTGTATAAAAAATTTTTAATCTTAAATTAATTATAAAAGTTATAATTTTTAATATATAGTTAATATAAATTTAAAAATGGATTACTTTAAAATATAATTTTAATATATAAAT